AAACTGTCCTTTCTTTACCTTGATGTATAGTCATACAATTCTTGACCAAAGTCCTTGGAACACCCTGCGACCAATGAAAGATTTTGAAGAAATAAAAGGTTTCCGGCTGTAAGATACAGAAATATCCCCCTACCCCCAAAAAAAATGTTGGCTGAAAAGCCTATTACTTACCCTAGCTGATAAACTGACATTGGACGAATTTCAAGCTTTGAAACTGTTGTTATTCAACATTGTTTCAAGGGGGAAAGGGGGATGCTACTGAAGTTATGCGAAATTTTAGCTTGGTGTAACAAGACTTTTGGCAAGGATTGTAGATACTAAAGCGGACGGAAACAACTTTCTAAATACAATATATTATCTGTTGATTGTGTATCTTTCAAATTTCTAATGTCAAATTAATGCAAGGCATTTTGGTTTTGTGTCGTATTAATCAATTCATGACATTAATTTTTCAGTAACATCGAAGTTTTACAGTCACTCATATTGAGGTGAAAAAGATATTAGTTTGTAATTACTTCCAGATCAACAATTTGAAAAAGAAGTACACTGGAGCCGGAAGTTAACTGGAAGATTTAACCAAAGCAACCAGCTGGCTAATGTTATCAAGTGGAGGGTTAGCAAAATCCTTGATCAAACCCAATTGATACAAAGTATTTAACTTTCGGATCCTGAAATCCTACCTGTGCTCTAAGCGCACTTTGAGAAGTGGTTTTCTACATTAGTGTTGTCCAATCACTGGCCAGCATATCAAGGTAGAAACCATAATGCTTTGAACAAACAGCCTCCCTCAATTAACCGCTTCCATTACGAACGCACTTTCCAAGCCTGTATAAAAGCATCACAAGATCCGCTACTGTCATAAAGATGAAAAGCTCGTCCTTGAAGAAGGCAATCGAGATAGATTTCTAGTGGGAAAAAGATGTGATCATGAAAAATAATAAGATTCTGTGCCTTTATAGGAAATGAGAAGCCCTCTTCCCTACCTTCTCAGTTTTCAGCTATTCAAGTGACATTGTTGTCCAGTGCAGATGTCAAGGTGCTAATGACAGGAACCACGCAGCATATTACATTTTTTGGGGAGGAAGAGGTAGGGGGCAGGGGGTTCAGCATGCCAAAAGCATAAATCAATATATCTTATTGTATGGGATTCAGCGCATTTTTAGAATTATTTAGATGGTTAAGCCCCCTTACCCCCTTCGCTCCCACATTTCCTGCCAAAGTATTTGATAACATGAAAACACAACCATAACTATAAAAGAACTAGGGAGCACAACATAAACTACATCAAATGTCACTTAAAATTTTTCACTTTCCTTATTTTGGCAAAAAACACGCGAGATTGAAAGATTTCTTGAAAGAAAGAAAACCAAACTACAAAGAGCACTGACAACATAAAAACTTTCTAATATGAACTACAAAGACGTTACCCAAATCCCTTGAAGATGGTTTATTGGAAAATACGGTCGCAATGATAATCTTTCATGAGAAAATTGGAAAATGTTTGCGTTGGGATCCATCACGAAATGAGTGAAGAAGGACCGGTACACCAATGTACAATCAAAACTAAACAAATAGAGTCACTTTGTATTCCACATAAACATCTTCTAATCAACGACTCTGGAATCCACTTAATCTATCAGGAAACGGCCTATAATCCTTTACGATAATCGTATTGGCCAAAGAAGCCATCCAGAGCACGCAGAATTTCTTATGTCTCCCTTAAGGTCTCTTCCATTGGTAATTCAAAACTTCCCTTCCTCATAAAACACGTTAACAAACTTCAATTATAATCCAAGATGCAGTTCTCACATAGAAAGGGTTAATGTCAAAGTCATGATTCTGAGCACAAGATAAACTAAGAAAATGATGATATCAAAAGTTGCAAGACGAAAACCCTTCTCTATCAGAGGATCATCGGCCAATTGTTTTGTAGGGAGATGTGCGGTGGAGGAATAAGAAATATTGATGGATATGTTTCATTTATACCCGCCCTCTGCGGGCATGGAAACGCCTAATTCTCACACATGGGTATTTAGAAAGTGTATTCTGTCATTAGTACCAAATATTTTAATCGGTAATATTTCCTGGTCAAGCATTTCTCACGATCTGGCTATTACAGCGCCCTAGATAGTAAGATGTTACTTTTACGAAGCTGTTTGACGTGATACATTATACAGAAATTGGATTTCCATCCTAGGAATCAGAATTATGAATAATTGTATGACTCTTTAACAAAAATACGAAGCTTAACACTACGGGTATCGCATTATTGAAAAGGGTGTGGCTCCACCAAAAAGGGTGCATCCCCCTAGGAGCTAGTGAACAAAACTAATTTATAGAGAAATAACGACATCAAAGGCCAAATAAAAGCTACATCAAAACTTATTAGCCAGTACAAAAAGACGCTTTTTACAATCAAGATATGGTATTTCGAATAAAGGCAATTTCACAACAAAGAAAAGAACAAGACTTGCAGTGAAGGATCAAAATCTAGGGCTAGGATCTGTGTTGAAATGGAGTGATCTGGCCTTTGGGAACAACATGTTAGGGGGGAAAAGGGGAATGAAATACCTACAAAACACTTTTAGTTATTTTAAGAATTTAGCAATTGCCAAATACCTTCAAGTACGTACGTACGTACCGTGCATTTTAACCGTTATAGGGTTGGGGGTGTGGCCTGAGGCACTGAAAATTGATTGGGCATTTCGTCTCTCGAAGAAAGATCTCCATCGTCGTAACAAGATTCTCGCGTTCTTTACGATTTAAGTTTGCGGGTGCCCGCCAAGGACAAACTTCTTGCTAACTGCAAATGCATGCACAAATCAGAACACGTTAGAATGCGTGTATGCATGTGAAGTAACCCTAAATATGTAAATCGTCAACTTTCATCAAGACCGTAATATTAATGTTCGTAGAGGGGGGCTCGAGCCAAAAACATGATAATCATAAAAATCCTTCCGTTCCAATTTCCAATGAATTGTTTACTCTTCATGACACAACTCCTCAGAGTAGCAGCCATGTGGCTAGATTTCATTTGGGGGCAGGGTCGAAGCCACAAATCACTGAAGGTCAATACTGTCTGGCCTAAGGATAATCGCAAAGTGTCTCTGTCTGTATCCTTCAAAAATTGGTGTTGGATGCCAGCTGCAACTCTTTTCTTCAAAACGTCCATTACAGTTTATGAGAAGTTGAACATGGCTCCTGTTTATTTCTGCTCCGTCTTCAGAATAAGCCACGAGTAACTCGAAAAATTCAAGCCATCCTATGATTTACCCCTGTTGTTGTAAACTAACAGGATTTTCATTAAAGCATGAAATTTTTTTCTTTAGTCTCATGCGAATAACCAAACTTTAACACGGCCCAAATTTCTTATAAAGACATAAAAGGTATCCTCTCATCAAAACGTTATGTGAAATCTTTGATATACCCACGTCTGATGGTTAATTTGTTATTCCAGTCGATCGAAAACAGGCTGATCACTAGTTTGAGTCAATATCAACTGTAAAATGTCAAGGTGAAGAACTGGCGACCAATTGATTGCAATGATACTGCGAAAAGCTAGTGTTGTAATCGACACTGTGACTTTGCGAATAACGCGTGGTTGACAAGACATAAAATCTTTTTCATTTTCTATCTTTCGAAAGACAGTCATCGCTTATTTACCGCTATGTTATACTCCTTCATGAACCAAAATACTGCTGCTTCACTTTTCTATTGCATCTGTTTTTATGAATCTTTGGTTAGGATTCAAAATGGAACAACTTGAATCATTCGATCAAAATAAGACGAACAACATTGAATTATAAATCCTTACCAGCGTGCATCAAGAATTTCGGTCCATCCATGGCCTGGGTACCTGAATTGAATTTGTCATTACTGACCAAAAATTCCCATCTATTATAGGTTAACCAAAGACATACTCGTATATCTAAGTTGTGGCCTTGCTCCTGAGAATGGAATTTCATAGAACACTACAAACCATATGTAATGGAGATGTGGAAACATTCGAAATGGTTTTGTGTGTGAGAAAGACAACCAGACGGGAGAAATCTAAAGGAAAAACTTCCTAACGAAATTCATATTGTAAAAAGCATTATGTCTTTTTGACATTGAGTTGATATTTCCCATTTCCCCTTATCCAAAGTTCTCTAAAATTACACTCTTTTTTATGTTCTTAAATCAATAGGGTTTACGCAGTGCGATTGCTAGCTTTTTCGCTCTAGGGAAGTGCTCAGTTCTTATTTGCCAACAAAGTGAGTGAGACAAACTTCATTTGCTAGCAAGTTTCAATATTCACCGAAAAAGCACCCATCCATTGCTAAAAATCCTCGTTTTTGAGATAAAAAATTGTTAAAAAGTGCTTTATACAGTAGCTCAGCTTCAGTTTATTCTCAATATGTTCTTAACTTATGACCAATTTTGTGACTCGTGTTCTTAAAAAATCGTTCTTATAAAAAAAGAGTGTAAATATTTTATTGGAGCTGGGGTGTTTTTCTGACCAACGGAAGCACATTCCGACACACTGAAGTTGAAACCAGGTCCAACCACCACTATCATCGTAGCTCGTAATGAAACCTTTTTTAGATTTTTAAAGTACCTGAAATAAGATGGGGGAGAAAAATAAACGAAACACTGATTAATAAAAAGTATTAACGTTGAAATATCAACAGACGAACTATCAACTAGAAATAAAAAGTTAAGCAATTTTGTACAGTTAAGATATAACTTTGTAACATCTGATCCTAACTTTTTCGGAAATGCAGTGCTTTAACAAAAATTTGAAAAACCTTCAAACTGGGCTTGTCAAAATGAGTTTAAATAGAATTTATAATTGCGTCGATATTTTCTCTTTCTTAGTAGGAATGGATTATCCAAACGATCAAACTCTGAAGTTTTCTTGATGATACTTTTTAAGAACAAATCTGCCCTTAATTTATTTCTCATATCCTCAAAAAAGTTCTTTCCAGCTGTTTCTTTTCCTTCAACAGCTGATTTCTATCTTTTTGTAATGTTTCTGAGAAAGTTTTCGTTAAGAAATAGACCTTGTGTGCCAAGTTTAGGCAATGGAAAAAACGAAACTCCGTCAATTTGTGCTGGCACCAAGTTATTCTGGACTAGGTTTCTCGATCTATTTGCTAAGCCAAGCTGCTACTCGTTGTAAAACTTAGACAATGACCGATTTCTTCGATCTAATTCCCATATTCAATTTTATGTATGTCTTCTATGGTAAAGACATAGCAACCATGGTAACGCTAAGGACACATTTAAGAGAATACTAAGCAAAGTTACTTACAGAATCATACTACATTTATTTCCACTTTTGCCTAAAATTTTTCTTTAGCTCTGCAGAAAAGTGGGGCATGCCCCCCCCACCCCGGTTTCGCCGCCCTGGTATCTCTTTCTGGAAAGGAATGTTTTATTGAAGAACCAAACAATTTTTTGCATAATTTCTGAAACAAATTCTCCGGGAACAAGTAATAAATAGAACTTTGATTCACTTTCTTGTTCATTGAAGATGAGATCATCTGTGAATTCAATTATACACAGACACTCGTTGTTTTCTATTTTAATGACAATCAAATTTAGTGCTTTTCTTTGAAAAAGGACAATTTTTGAGATCAATTAATTATAGCAGTACAGATGACATTAAGAGACAGAAACAATTTGTGTTGATAAAATGCAACTACTGATTCTTCTTGATTGCTACTGGCCACAAGTTAAGTTAATAAGAACTTATATATTTATACAAAAATTACAAAATATTATAATGGTGATGAAATTTTTACTAATTGTGCACTAGTTTTAGCATGCACACTCGATAAATATCGTTATCAGGATTAAATACAGACATTTTGTGCCGACGTGTGGTAAGGCAAAATTATTCTTCTTCGCTGGTAATCTTTTTTGATATAGTGGAAGAGTCTAGCTAGAGGGGTGCAGAGTTTTGTCCAAGCAAACGAACACAAACATTGACATTTACAAAAAAGTAAAAAACCCTACATTGATTCTTAAAGTTAGAAGGGCTGGGTGAAGTGAGGGGGAACTGAATTTGAAGAACCGATTTCAGCCTTGTCTTGGATAAAAAGTAACAGCTCCACATTTACATGTTAGGGAAAATTTCTATAAAAGCCTCACTTTTTTGGGAGCGAATAAAACAATACTGCGAAAGCAGGACTGAAGTTAGTTTAAAAACATCAATAACGTTACGGTTTGCATTTCTCCTAAACGGCGCACTTCGTTGCTAAAATATCACAAAATACGACAATAAGCCTGGATATTGGGCAATATTATGCTGCGAGTGGATTAGGGAGTTACAAACAACACAAGAACGTGGAATATGCGAGTGAAAGTTTTCAACTTACGAAATTATTGTCTACCAAAAGGTGTCACTTATCAACAATTGGTTCCTTGTCTTGCAACACGTGCGCCTGTCAATGCCTGATAACATCAAATTAGTCACGGGAAATTCAGGTGTCTTTGAGACGTTTTCACCTTATGTTCCGACATTTTGTTTGTGGCAAGCACTAATGTGCTGACTCTGTATGGCGACGGGAAGGATGCGATCAAGGCGCGGCAGCCAGCGCACATCGTACGACCAAAAAGCCGTTTACTCATTGGCGACGCGTCGTTGTCTGCAAGGTTATGAAAAAGGTCTCCTCGCCCCTTCTTTCACGATACAACTCTAATTTCTTAGCCATCTGCAATCTCTACCGGCTTTTATCCAATGGCAGATCCTCTCAACTTTTTTCTTTGTTAGTCTTGTGGCGATGTTGTGTCCCTGGGTGATTTTTCCATTATTTTTCTTGCCCCTAAATGCCGAGAGTACGGCGACAATCTTCCTGTCAAAGTCATTCACTTTTGAGGCAGACCGTGAGTTTGGCATCTTTTTCTGGTATATATACACCCCAGAGCCGGACATACCCTTATACGCATCACAATTGTTGTATAGTCTTCTCTTCTTGAGCATCATGATTCTACATTGGGAAAACCACATTTCATTTACCGGTTTGTCAGAGGGGAACCCGGCAAACTGAATCGTTTTACCCGCTGGTGTCGGTTCGTATCCGAACCTCATGTAATCACGACCATGGTGTTTTTGCAGTTCGATTACCGCCAAATCATGCCCGACCTTTGCATATCCTGATTTGCGATGCCATTTATTTCCAACGAAAACCTTTTTCGCTCTGAACCACTTAAACGTACCACCCTCTCGCAAGATACCCACTTGCAACTTCCTCAGTGGCAACAATTTTTCCCCATTGTGAACACAGTGAGCAGCTGTTAAAACATGCTTGTACCAAATTAGGGTTCCTGAACAACCGTACCCGATTCTCACCACAGCTGAAAATGGGAGTTTTTCTGTTAAAGTTGTCGGCAAATGGACTCTGTTATCTTCCCCAAAGATGTGTCTCTTCAGTCGATCGGCCATACTTAGACCATCCAAAATCGATCTGCTTCTGTAATGGATCATTTGATAATCATCATCCGAGTGTTTTTTATCTGTTTGTGTGTTCTCGTCCATTTCGGCAACGTCTGAATCAGGTAAATGAAAACTTATTCCGCCAATTATTGACGATTTAGGTTTTTGCATTTGAATATAAGCTCGAATTTCTGAGTCTACGTCTTTCATTTCGTAATCAACAACTGTAGTTGGCGTTGTCACGTTGCTCTGTTCTAAATTGCTCTCGTTTAATCGCAGCATTCGTGATAGTATAAGCGAAGTGTTTGATTGTTTTGTGTGATTTTTTTCTTGGAATTGCTTAGTGTTTGATGCCATTGATTTGTTGTTATTCAATGGGGGCAGCAATGCCATACCATAAACGTTGCACCCTTTTGGAGCAAAGTACAGGGCAGCATAAACTATGAAAGATACAAACCAAACACGGGGTAATCCCTTCGATTCCATCCTCATTTTCTGTTAACCAGATTCAAGTACTTTTAACCACAGTCGGTCGGCACGTAACACTACCATATGACACTCGGAGCAATTGATGTAATCCACGCGTATTATTGTTCCGTCCTTGTATAGCTGATTGCAAACAGTTCATAGATTGGCAATATAGTTGAAACGAACAAGTGAATTTATAAAACCCTTCAGCTCTCGATGCCGGACAGTCAGGCAATCAAATGACCATTTCTCTTCTGATGTTGATTATCCCAGGTAGTGTCCAGCTTTTATTCTAATGATCCGCTATAAATTACCAATTCACACTCATCCAACAGAGTGGTTTGTAAAATCTCCGTCAAATCCTTCAAAAAAGTGGAATGTTTTCATAACACAAAACAGGAGTCCAACTGCACAATTGAATAGCCGAGCCAATACCACGTTAACTCGCTGGGCGACGTTGATCTGGACTGTGACGTTACGGTGACAGTGCTGAAGTATACTGAGTGACCCCAACAAATCAATACGCTTCATAAGAGCTTGACAGCTTCTTTAGATTAATCGAGTCAGATCTAAGGATGTTCCTTTGCTCGTCAGATTTCACAAAACGTTTAAATGATCTGTCATCTTGAAAACCACAATGGTTGTCGTGGCAATCACTCGACTAAATGATCGCCCGTGCTTTATAATAATCAGTTTAAATGAGCATGTGTTGCAGGTTTCCTCGGGCGTTTTAATTGGATGAAAACACACTAACTCACATTTAATCGAGTTATACACGATACGATGGTCTTTCTAAAGGCTTCCACGCATGCTACTAAGAAATTTCGAGTTGGTAATTCAGGCTTTAGCATGTCCTGCCATAACCCGGGAGACGAGAAGTATATAATTACTGTCTGGTAAAACTTACACCGGTAGGACGTGATTACGTAATAAACATAATGACAAACATACCAAACAATGACGTCACAATTGCACGAGTGCATAAGGAACCTATAGCTCAGTGATGAATGAGGAACCTAAGAAAATATTTCGTTCCTCAATGTTTCTGTAATAAATGGCGCATTTCAACTGCAAATTCCGATCTAGGAAATATTATTTCCATCCAGGTGGTTGATAATGATTTATAATGATTCATCTGATTCAAATGGACATAAAATGATTGATGTTGATTCTCTGTCACTGACATTAAAGATCATGCAGGCGCTGATGATTATCATTACATAGAAGTCCCTTTTGAAAACCCGACTGTATTTCTGGAGATTGAAAACAGGCTTCGTTTCTTTGGAACAAGATTATCATGTGATAAATGAAGTAAACAAAAAGATGAAAACTTAAATAGAATATCAATATTCCATTTCCACGGTTGACTTTTTGTGAATATTTCTCATGAACTTAGATCTTGCCTTTTTTCTTGAAAGCCTCTACCCAAATACTGATCTCGATTTTCACATCGTCGGTAAGCAATTTCAGTGGTTGCATACATCATTGTATCAATGTTGTCATTGCAATGAATTATAAACGATCAGAAATGCACCGTCTTTGAAAAAGGGGGTAAAACAATGCTTTTCAGAAGAGCAGTGCGGTTCTTTTGTGAGGGCCCGCGCCACAGATCCTATACTGGAGAGGGGGGAGGCAAGCAATGTAAAAAAAGTTTCCGCTTACATGAAATGTTGGACAATCGATGGCAAAAGTTGAAATTGACTACTTTTCAGCATTAACAAAGGTGCTTTGCCCCCTGAGACACCCTAGCACTACACCCTTCAAAAAACATATACAGTTTCATGATATTGATAAAACCTTTTGTTGGGGTGAATGTAAATATGACAAATGAAACATGTAAATGAGACATCGTATTCGTTTTAGGAAATCTATCTGGGGCACAAGCAGATACAAGCTGCCAGTGACTTCAATAACCTACGTTAACAAGTAAGTTTTGCTTGCTTACATGTATGTTTGAGATATTGAGATTGCTGTATAGGAAATCTTGGGTTTTATATTCCAATTATTTTCCAAATTAAGTAAATAGCTTCTTTTAGTAGTTTGTAAATATTTCGAAGCTATATAGTATATAAAATTTTTCCTAATTAAGTAAGATGACGCTTTGTATGCCAGTGTTGGTTTAATTTTGTTCATGGAGATTTACAGCTGTTATCAATAAATCAAGTGCAATGGAGATTAACAAAAAGATACTTGAAGTATAAAATGAATAATAAAACAAAGAACAAAACCAATGAAGAGCATATAACGTACGAATAGAAAGTAGCAGAAACCCTTAAGAAAATAATTTTTGTTTTTGAAAATTAAAAGAAAAACGAAAGGAGATTGAAGAGACAAGATAAGAAAGGGAGAGGAAAGGCAAGGAGCTAGCAGAGGCGAAGAAGTTTGGATGGAAAATTTTGGGAGTAGGCCCTTGGTAAGGTGAATCTGAACACACCCATTTGGTGTGTAAATATGCATCTGTAATTTTAGCGTCGTCATTGGCTTTGCTTCACTCAGGTTAAAAAAGAAAGAGTGACGTCATTAAGCTGCGATTGTTAATGTTGTTGTTGTTATTGTTACCAACTTTGTTATTATGCCTTGGGGCTCCTTTAAGCACAGGGCCCGGGGCAGTCTGCCCCTCTTGTCCTTCTAACGGCAGGCATGCATTTACTCATTGCAGGTTTCTCTTTTCACCACAGCAATATATTTTTATTATCCTATCTCTATGATTACATGCCAGGCAATACCAGGCAGTAAATATGAAAACTTTCATGGATGAGTGCATTTTTAAAAGTAGAAGAAACCCTACTACCAAAGCTTGATAAAAATGTCAACAAAATTGCTACCCTTTTGAAGCTTGAACCAATGTACCATAGAAATATCAAGGTTTTTGAATCTCCATGCAAGCGGGCGTGATGTCGACTTAAGTACTGAGAACGATGCAGGTACATGTTTTGAAGTGTTAGCAGGCCATTATAATGTATGATTGCCCATGGTAAAGCGTAAAGATACTCTAACACATTAGTGTCTCAGCTAAAGATACTCTACGATAAAACAATTTACGCCCTGAAAGACTAAAAGACAAGAAGAAAAACAACTCTTGAAAATATTTCCTTTCTTACAATAAATGTTCCTGCTGTAAATGTACTGTTTAACCATAATGATTGAAAATGATTGAATTAAACTCTTTAGAAACCGAAATATCTAGTACAGTAAGCAAAGTTTTATACTAAATATTTTTGCTTTCAGAGATACTAATAGGACAATAGTTAAGACTAGTGATCTTTTCAACAATTCATTCATGCACCTTGAATGTCTTTTAAACTGGACTGCAGTAAAAACATCAAGTTGTTTGAGTTTTAAAATCACATTTTGAGTCATACTTCGTTAAACCCCACTTCTTAATGAAATAGAAAATGAAGAAACTTTATAAAAATGCACCTTTCATTGTATTATTTAAAAGTTTCGCCATCGTTTGAGCTCTAATCCAAGTTTTTAAAACCTGAGAGAAAAACGGACCGACCACACAGCCGCGCGGCCATTTCCTGCCGCGAAACAGGGAACACACTTCACCAGTGTTAATCACTGCGCTGAAGGAACAGTGAAGGAATGATAGAGATTACACAGCGCAGAGATTGATTCAGGAAAATTTTTTGCAAATATATTAATTTCCTTCATGTTCCTTTTCTCGATTTATGCCCTTGCATGAATACGGAAACAAAACTATTTAAAATTTCCCGGCCGTTGAAGCAGATTCTTTGGCGGTAGAGTCTTGGAAGAAAGCACTATAGCATCCATCTGTGGCTACACGGTGCTTAATTAAGCGACCTTTCAATGTCAATTGGAAAGGCGAGCGAAAGGATGTGGGATCCACTTGAGAAAGTAGGCCTACAGGATGTTCCAGAATCTTCAAAGATTAAAGCCAGGATACAAAGATGTTTCAGAAGATTCTTTGAGCATTCCCTAGGATAGATGATTACTTTAGAGAGGACAAAACAGTACGAGATAAATAGTATTCCTTAAATCTTTTCGTACAAATAGATGAGAAGTCAATGGTAGTCTGGCCAGATATTAAGAGCTTATCATTTCTAAAAAGACCATTTACACTTTAGCAACAGCATAGAAACCACTTTTGTGCAACGGCGTGCGCCTAATGCAATAAGGTGCAATATAGAAGCCACACCCTTTACCGCACCCATCATTCATACACTCTTTTTTTATAAGAACAATTTTATAAGAACACGAGCCTCAAAACTGGTCAAAAGTTAAGAACAAATTAAGAACAAGCTGAGGCTGAGTTTCTGCAAAATGCAATTTTGAACAACGTTTTTTCTCAAAATCGAGGATTTTTAGCGATGTGTGGGTGCTTTTTCGGTGAATATTCAAATTTGTCAGCAAATTAAGGCTGTCTCACTCACTTTGTTGGCAAATGAGGCCTGAACACATCCTTAGAGCGATAAAGCTAGCAATAGCACTGCTTACACCCTCTTAATTTAAGAACAAATGAAGAACAATCCAGCCTCAGATTTTCGAAAAAATTAAGAACAGTCAGCCTGAACTTAAATTTACTGGTTCTAATCAAAAAATAGAGTGTAATCATAAACGCAGCAAAAAATTAAGAAACGGTGAAACTGTCCTGAGCTTATTTTCTTGAAAAAATGCGTGCACCAAGGCGCAGCAAGAAATGGCGCTGACTTAGTCCTGAAGGTAATTCTGTGGTATAAGCAACACTTAACAAGACTACCGCCTCTTTCAGCAGCTATTTACGAGGGAGTACACCCAGAACCACACTAATTGAAGTATTAGCGCATTAAGATTTATGACGTTTCATAAAGCGTTACTAGGTAGTGCGATTGACTCGATGATTTACACGAATCCACAATGAAAAACTGCTCGCAAAAGAGCTGCTTTAAAAAATACTCGGTAGTTTATATTGGTAAGACCTGTGCCACAATTGACCTGCCACCTTCAAATTGACCTGCCACCTTCAAAACGTTTATAGATTCTATAATTTTCGTTGAATCAATGTGTGCTGTTCAAATTTATCAACGAATAGTGCCCAAAAGTATTCTAAACTACGACATCGTGGAAAATGAAAAATTCTTTTTTAAAAGGCAAGTTGATATTTCAGTCAAATAGCACAAAAAAGTCATGTTTCAAAAAAATCAAAGCAAGTTCTTGAAAAGTCTGGGGCAAACTCATACCATTGAAATTTGGCTTAAAGGCAATCTATCTCGTTGTGGATTGGTTAACGAGAACAATAGCTGGAACAATAGCCTAAACACAATTCCAGCGCTCCGCCATATTTTTTACAATGCGATAAATTAAAGGGGGACTGGAAACAATAAAAAATCCCTTTGTTCTTATAATCAATCAACGTCATGACAGATTGCCTTTAAAGTCGGGGCAATTCAATATCAACTTAAAACAAAATCTAATAAAAACATACATCACGAAAATTTATAGAGAAAAATTGGAGGACAGCATTTTTTTATTTACTTTTCTTGTAAGATCGTGGGGGGGCTCATTAGAAATGAGTAGGGTAACGTCAGAGAGAATAGCAGGCTACGGGCATTTAAGAGCTCATTGCATGGTCAATATGATCTGGTTAGCGCCGCGGTTAAAAATGAAACTGACTTTAGAGCATTTACAGTGTGCTATACCTGTTAGTTGACTGCTTATAGACGCAAAATCAAATTCAGGTAGCATCTACTAAGCAAAGGTTGAGTTTATTTATCTTTACAACAACAACCAGCAATCATAACAACCAGCCACATGGCCTTTGATGTTCTACAATTTTTAACTTCCTGTTTTACTAACTTATAATATTTTTTCATACCTTTTTTACTAAGAATAGAAGCTTGGATTTACATTGGATTCACAATATGTCGTATTTACATTGCAACATGTCTATAGAAATTTATATAAAGATACACGAGAGCGCTTTGCAACTTATTTCAAACCTTTTATGGTTAATGAATTTGCAGTCCTAAGAGAGGAATTCTTCTGCTAAGCAAGCATACGTCATTCTCAATCTTTTTACTATTTTCAAGCTTCATAGGCAACTTTTAGTTGAACTCAAAAGATGAAAGATCGCGGACTATGAGGCGTGGCCTTACCCGTTCGAATGAGTTTCTTGCATATTCTCGTATCATTATTTGTTATATTTGTGATTATTTTGATACTTGAAGTTCTGTTTTCTAGCTTTGCAATTAGGCAAGGATTTGATTTGATATGCATTCTTGTAATTTCAAATGTCATCCAGAGCATTTGCACAATTCGTAGACACTTTTTGTATAAAAACGCTTGGTTACAGTTTCAGCTTGGCGTTTCTTATTTTTTTCGCAAATTTCAGCCTCACCTGTTTCATATTTTGTTTCTTATTTCTGTAATGAAACTTCCCGTGCATAGAAGTGTCCGGACATAACCTGTGCTTGATGAAGTTACTAATGCAATTTGCTTATCGCTTTCTGTTTTTTCTGTTCCTATTCATTCATTTTTCAAATTTGCTGCTTTTTTATTCCTGGAGCCTGCTTTGTTTCTTACATTGTTCTTATATTTTGGGCAAATCTCATTATTATTTTTAAAAAGTTGTCCTTATATAAAAGCTTGTAGTCTCTACTCTAGACAATTAATTATTGTAATAATCAATTTGCTTGTAATTTGTACATAGATCGAGTGTCGTTGAAAAGTGCGATCATAAGAGAAAAGTCAAGCCAAAATGGCTGTTGAGAATCTTGAAACTAGCAGGCGTTTTAGAAGAAGTCGTCACAGAGAAGCCAGCACATCTACAACCAGCACGTCTACACTGGTACACAACCAGCACGTCTACACTGAAAATATTTGGGAATGTTGAGGTAAAATTTCTGAAAGACCTCAAGGTAACCTTCCTGGCCTTAATTGTAGGAAACATGTCATTAGGTATGGCGACGACGGAAACCCAATAATGCGAAATGCAACCTGTTTCTCATGATATGTAGAACCTCAGGAAAATATCTTTGTCGCAAGGGCTTGGTCCTGAGCAACCTTCGTAGGGCTCTTACGCACGTATGTATAAACATGTTTTCCATCCATGCTTTGACAATGTTTATAACCATCATGTTATGCTTTCGTCTGACGGCTAGCTATATTAATCCATGTTTGGTTGTATAGATTATAATGGCTATTGAAAATAAACTGTTAAGGATTTTTCTATTAACCAAGGGATAAACTATTCCGTATGTCTTTATAAATGAAAATTCCATTCTGCTAAATGACTTCTAACCAGTCACTGAACAAAAAAAATTCTGTCAGCTTTATGAAGAACAAATCTATTTGACGCTTGCATTTGTTTTAATATATTGACTCCTATTTTCTGGCTAACAAACAGGAAATAGCTGAAGGTTTTTGCAGAATTGTTTTTATTAATGTCATGTCAAAACTAGCGCACGTAGAACATGTGCTGGTCTAAAACAAAGCTGAACTAATACTAAGAGGTGGGGTGATGAAGAAACGCGTTCAATAGTTGCTTAGAAGTCAACAGAACCTGATACATACATACATAAATCTTTTCTTGACTGTGCTGTCGAGAAAGGGGAATCAAGCTGCTCTGGAACCCCAGAGTTGGCGTGGCTTGATAAAATGTGCCTAAAATTTGCATTCATTCTTAAAGACTGGCTGTGAAAATACACTATTTAGCTTATACAGAAATAGACTTGCTCGATTCATCCACAAAATTCTATTCTACCAAAAAGATGTGGTGAAGAAAATAGATTAGGTAACCACAATTGGTTGATTTGCTATTTTATAAATCTGCTTTAACTGGAAGTCCACGTATTAGCAGCCATGGGGTAAACAATATGGGCTTTTGGGGGCAGTATTCGTAAAGCTTATTTCTTGCTCTTTGCTTGCCTACGTAATTGCAGGTAGTTTTCTAACGTTTATGCAAATTTTTTATTTTCTGGCTTGAGCATTGAAATTTATCACAGGCTTGTTTTTCGAAGGGAGGTCGACATCTAGGCACTGTCTTATGTGGCAGAAAGGAAGATGACCCAATTTGCACTAGCATCCTTGCAACAAAGTTTATAAATATTGTTTGAACTGATAATGTTATATTAGAGTGTTATATTTTTGACTTGATTTATGAAAATGAGCAGCCTTTTAACACAAAAACAAAACCCAAACTAGGCTAGCAGCCCCATTTCCGAGTAACTTGCCTATTTTCAAGGGCGACTTACAAAAACCGGAAATTTGTCTGTTGTAGACAGGGGTCTGTTAATGCATGTGGTTAATTTTTAGCAAGAAGTGTTGACCACTGAAAGAAACTTTGTAACAAATGTTTCACTAAATATCTAACTACTGATATGATAATTATTATGATTCAATGTGCCAATAGTCACGTGTCAATTGTGCCTTTCTACGCCATTTCCGTGAATTTGTCTGAAGGTCCATTTTCTAGCTTCAAAGAATCATTTTGACATAAAATACTAGATTAGCCAGGTATCTATACCATCTGTGGTATGCATTGTAAGCTGCAGTGAGAAATGTATTGGAGTGATATCAAGGACTGACAGAGCGATGTTCCTAAGTACCGACAAAATTGTTCATCAGAGGTACCTAAAATCCTTGCAAAAATATTTCGTGAATCGTTTTGAATCACAAATTAATTCCAGCCTTGTTTCCATATGATTCTAATGTATTCTGCAGCATTCGAAGTGCTGATATCCAGAAACCCATTCCATTTTGACGTAATCCAAAAGTAAACAGAATTTTATAGAATGTTTTGACAAGAAATCCAATGAAGAAAAACTGTAAAACTATCATGATTGGAAAGGTAGATCCGCGGTTATTGCAAAAACACCATAGAGGTCATATGATCGATTTCTGTTTACATTTAGTTCTAAACGTCATCTGCAAATCTTGTTTTCCCACGATTGCAGTAAAGGGCATTCTTACCATACCAGATGAAGATGAAAAATTTGTGCCCTTATAACCATCTGGTTTTCAACGTAGCCTTGAACTTTGATGACTTGAATGTGTAACATTACAGGCGTCTGTGGAATTCTTTCTTACAGAATTCCAACCTTCTCGTTATTAAGAAGAATCAATCACAATATGATAAGGAAAGATCCAAAGAAGTTGCTAGCCAGCCAGTTAATTCTGTCTTTTTGAATTTCAAACCAAGACAAGTTAGAGCTCTGTTTTAAAATTAAAGTCTTTATGATATAAATTTTAGCTTCACACAAAGAAGCACAACATACAAAAATACTTGTGACAAAATGATCACGTGGACAGCAGATGCCCTCCTCCATAAAGTGGTCCCACTCTATCACTCTAATTTCTGGACAGTTGCTTGGCAAACACGTTGCTTATTTGGCAAAATTGTTGTCTGGAGGTGAAAGAGTCTAAAGGAAGGTGAAATTGGGACTAAGTTGTATGTCTTCATCGGTAGTTTTTACTCAAATTACGCCATTGTCTATATCAATAAAGGTCTTGTTACTTCTATCGAAGTTATAAAAACAACTCTCGGGATTGGCTTTTGCTTGAGTTGGTACCACTCAAGGGGCAAGAGATACTCGTCTTGATATCCACCCTATTTTTTAAGGTATATAAGAACACATTGTGTACAAATTGGTACTTGTTTTTGGAATACACTTAAGAAATGGATAAAAACAAGAAGCATTGTCAAGAAAAACCGATAACGTCATGATTGGCCTCGGTTTAGCCAAATAATCTGTGAAATAGGAAAACGGCTTTTCTTGCCATTCATGATATCAGGCATGTTCCTTATAACAGGAAATGATTAAAAGAAAGGGTGGTTCACTCCAAAGCTCAAGATCCTTGAGATATTTGTGAAAAGGTAGGCCGGAGCAGAGCTTGCTTTTAATAAATGGCACAACAGTTAAATGCAAGCTAACTTTCGTTTTTGTTTTGTGAAATCAACTAAAGTCTAAAGTCTAATATAAGTTTTTATTTACTTTTTTATTTGTCGAGCAATTATTGGTTCTAGAACTTATCAACAAAGAATTTTTCAGCAAAAGAATGAGAGACAGATAAAAAGTCATTCAGATAAAAAAGACAGACAGATAGAAGTCAATGAGAAACATTAAGACAAACTTCCGTTTTGGTTAACTTCAGCTTGTATTTTTTCTACACGGTTCTTTCCGATTCTTCAAATGGTCCTGCAACAGGAATAGGTTGAAGTCTCAAACAACAAGTTTTTAGATTCTCAAGTTTCTGGATTACACAATTTTTTGTTTCAGGTTTTTGCGCCAAAGAAAGGCTAAAGACAGATACAATGTACCTTCATGAAAACATGTTGTAATGGAGATGAATGATTCAAACAACAAACAAGAACCCACATTACAAGATTTGCAAGGTACATATACTAACCACTTAAAACCAGCCATATCCTTCACAGAGCGCTTTGCTTATTAAAAGAGCAAACTGTATGGATCATCCATATTAAATGTTGACAAAGCGGTAATAAAACTCCAAAAAGGACGGAAAGCCGTTTAATGGCGAGCTAGGTTATGTCCCAGAGGAGAAGAAGAAAGAGTGACGTAAGAATTTTCTTACGAGCTCATATCCTGCTTTCGCACAAAGGTATCTATTGCTGCAATTCGGCATAAACACAACCCATAATGGGACAGTGGGGAAAGCCACCAAGATGTAGACTCAACTTTCTCCTTTTAAATTGAATGCAAAGTGGGAAGGAAAGCTGTAAAGCACCTCTACCGGTAATAAATACGTTGTAGTGTTAGAGTCAATTCATAACATTTTCCTCAAGAAACGGCTTCTTATTCTGGCCGGGGGCCAGCTTTTAGTTATAGGGTCCAACGCTAACTATTACTTTGCGAACTAGTAGAATGTAAAGCAGTAGCGTGGTGGCTCAAAATTAGCTACAAGGCACCGATTTTTAGCGCCCCTTAGATAAGTATATTAGTAGCGTAACGAGCAGCTGCGTCCCCTAGGAAAATTAACAGAGAAAAATTGTTGCTGGGGGCCCCTAAAGGTTCGGGGCCCTTTGTTATCTTGTTGTTATTCAACTAAAGGTAACTTTGGTCCGTTACTCCACTGAATTTTATCTCTTTAACAATAATGCATGAACATTTGAATATCAACAGAAGAACTATACTTAAAAACAAATGGCTGATAGCTTTGTAAAGTTGGTTGGTAAAATTTGTCCATAGTAGTTATGTCCTAACCCCCTTTTCCTTCACGGTGTTGCTGCTGCTAACTGCTTCTGTTCTATATAAAGACATCAGCATAGCACAACAACACTTTTTGATTGGGCGTTAAAAGCATTCAACTGCCTAAAGAAAGAACTAAAAGATTTATTTCTAGTTTAAAAGTGGAAGTAAATTTGGGCTGTTTCAGTTCCTTCTATAGTTTCTGAAGTCCAAGGTGTGCTTCGAAAAATTGTATTACGTCACGAACGGAAGAATTAGATTTTGGTCTTTTCTTGGATCTTTTCTTGGATTTCTCATATTGATAATTTGTATCAACGAGAAAGCACAGTAGAAGATAAAAATATTGTCGATTGTAGGCATAAGCTAGATCAATTTCCATTGCAACTTTAAAGGCCCTACAATTATTTTGGATTCGATTTAGCTTTCAGATTTGCAGAGCGATATCACGTACTGCTTGAATATTCTATATGTTTTGATTTAAAAATGAAACTTGGTTACCACTTTCAGAAACATATTTTCATTAACAATTATACTTGAATAGGCAATGGGGCGCAGTCAAAAATGAACTTTTTTGTACTGCGTCATTTAAGTATTTGTCATATAAGTTCTTAAGTATTTGTAAGTTAAGATGGAAGATCTGAAAATAATGAGCCGTCGAGAATTACATTAATTTTGAGGGGTTATCTAATCTTCCCCTAGCGCAACACCCCAAGGATTCATAGACAAAGTGTAATCCACATCCAGTAAGAAAATATGCTGTCATAAATGAAATTAGTGAAACTGCAAACACTAAACTGTTTCGCAAACTGCAAACTTCTAAGCTTCAAAGCACTAAAGGAAAAATAGTTCTGTCCACCAAGAAGATTCTGAAAGGGTCAGAAAGATTGAAGAAAATACCCCCCAAAGATCCCCCCAAATAGTTGATGATTTGCAGGGAACAACTTTCTAAAACCATTACACATGAAAGCATCTTCAATCCTAACAACTCTCAAAGCTCATTATTGTCATCTTTGTTAACTATGAGGATGGAAAATGAGCAGAAACTTAGGCTCTGCAGTGCGTTTCACAATTTCGCAATGTGGAGAGCTCCTCTTTGCGGGAATCCCCAGATGCATTGTAGCATCAAAAATTCTTGCATTAGGTGGGCATTAGGTGATGCCTTTTCTTGACGAAGATGAATATGAACAAGATATTTTGCGAAAGGGTTTAGCACTAGGAGTTATTCTAAAAAAATTGCAAAACAATTGAGCTTTTTGCAAATCAAAAACTTTTCGCATGGGTGATAATTTTTTCAACCTGTGTCGGAGCCTCTGATACAGAGAATAGATACCTTGATTGATTAGAATTTGAGCACAAATAATTTGATATTTTCAAAATCAAAATTTATTATCACGATAATCATTAATTGCCGCTTGTATTTTTAAGAAGCTGAAACTACGATTTCATTCATTCAACACAACCGTATATTATATGTTACACTGAGATTATCTAGTTTGAACTACCCACGCTCATTACAAACGTCTGGTTGCTTCATCCCTGTTTCGGCGTTTTTGTATAGTCAACTCAACCAGGTAAGTACACATACCCGAACATAGGTTTCTCGTTCAGGAGAATTGGATTGACATTGGGATTTTAACTGGCAGGCCTTAATTCATAGGATAAAGTTGTCCGTTGCGTTACACACCAGGGGATGGAAGCGATTGCTTTTTTAACCAAACAGCAAAGTTTTGATATATCAAAAGGATCTTCTGCCTTTACGAGATCTAGGGATTATTTGTTAAGTCCTGCCTGGTAAGCCGCAAAAATGTTCAACTTTCGCAAATAGTTAATTGAGATGACAGATTTCAAAACACCGAAATGGTGTCTTTCATTTGCACAAAATAGCAATCTCCTTCGTCAACCAAATCAAGGAACAGGTATGATGAATTTTTCTTTGGAACATGGGATGCTGACCCATTTTATGATGCTCGTGTTTTGAAGACTTTAGAAGAAAATACGGCGATAATCGGCATTAAAATTTCCGACATTTGCTTCCAAAAGGCTGAATGTATGTTTAATTTGCATTGAGATTGATATAGAGAAATGTGATTGTACGCAGCCCAGCATAGAAAGCTGATTATCGAAGTTACGAGCCCACCGTTGCCACCAATGTCAGGAAGAGCGACATGGTGGCCTACTGTTGGTATCTGAATGTTGCTAAGATGTTAAAACGAACTATAGGAGGAAAATGCTCCCTACATTGAGGCATCTGGTTATATCGAGATGAAAGGGGGGAATATCATCTATCACCAACATTTAAAGAAATGGTTTCAAAGAGATAAACGTTTGTTTGAGCAGCCTGAACGTCAAAGATTGCTTGTAAGAATAGCTTGAAGACTGTAGACAGGGAATATAGGTTTCATAGAGCTTAACATGGTCAAACATAACGAGATAGCCGGTAATTAGAAATTGCAATTTTGATTCTTAAATTAAGCTAGAACTTATGTATTTAGAATCTTAACAATATGCCATTCATAAGCAGAAATCTAGAGTGATCTCTAGAAGCATTAGTGCTTCCCGCTCTACTTAATTTAATAGAATTTACAAACAAAGTTTCACAGGAATAAAATTGGAGCTTGACCTATGTGCCATTGTTGAAAAGATGAATTCAAACATTTTGTAAAAGACAGAGATGTTGTATAACATACTGTTTATTGTTTCAAGACTGAATGATAACCATTTTGAAAAGATAGGGTCAAGCATAAATTCGAATGAATGAATGTGACGCATAAATTCAGCAAGCTCTGAGGATTGATATGCTTTAAGAACTCCAATACACAACAAGATTGACTACTTAAAAGAACATTTTATCTAAGGTCCCAGGGCCATTTCCCGTATCTTTCAACAAGAAGAAAGCTGTCGAATATCAATGGTAAACTTTTACGAAAGCTTTTTAACACTTTGACCTCTAGAAACTTAGGTTAATGCAAAGCTTTCCTGAGTTTAGACAAAGAATGATTGAGCCGTTTTGTGAGAATTATCATTGACTTGGGTTTAATTCGAAATTTTGTATCAATTGATGTATATCTTGTTCTTGAACTTTTCTCAGAATCTTTCTCTGAGGCAACAGTTTTCTCTCTTATAGATGCCCCCCCCCCCTTTGAACGAAAAAATTGTCAAGAGCAGGGTAAAGGGTCTGTCTTTTTAGCATATAGCCTCTTATTCAAATATGTGCATGAAACATCTGTGAAAGGACTTTGTTTTGAGATGCAGGAGCGGATCCAGACTATAGCAACTGTAGCTCGAGCTATAGTCAAATTCTCAGTGTTTGATTTTCGAAATACAAAGTTTCCTTCCAGTCCTTAAAAATGTGTTTATGCCCACAAGTGTTTACTATCAACATTTGAAAGCAGCGGTATAGGTTATCAAATGCGATTAACAAACATGCAATGCTGGCAATGTGTCATCACAATGCCTCTCCAGATAAGAAATAAAACACTGAGCGCAGAATGGTCTAATATCAAAACTTAGACGAATCAGAAGTTTCGTTCTTTGTTGACAGTAACCAACCAGAATTGAGCTACAGTGGATATTCCGAGCTATAGTCGGTCTGGGGATTTGCTCTGGAAAAGGCATCGAAGACAATGAAACCCGTACTATAATTTTTGGCGCGAGCTATAGTGAAGCTATAGTCAGGTTTTAAAATGGCCTTTTAACCAATAGAATATGAGTATCCACGTTACTTCTCCGCTCTCTGTCTCCTGTAAAGCAACAGTGGACTATAGCTCGTTTTCACATCCTGGGTCTCCTGTAATGTAGCTTCAAAGGCAAGGACCTACTAGGGAATAGACAGGGACGGCGGAACGACCAAGCGGCGAGAGAGGGAGGAGGGGGTGGGGGGGCAGGCTTGAGTAAAAGGGCTTTTGATTCATACGTAACTGCAATTTCATTTCGATCTTCTGTAGGTATCTTCAATATTGGCTAACTTTCGGCATATAGAACTATTTTAC